TATGTTATCAATTTTTATTTTTTCTTTCCAGTTGCGTATTATGCTGTTTTCAGATGTTGCAATGTCAGATAAAACGAGATGTGATTAGAAAAGAAGATGATAATTTTTTTCCAATTGTGCCTGAAAAATACATTTACTTCATAATATCATGCTCAATCCAAATATTGTATATATTTTAATTTTTCGTGTCACAAATATTTATTTCACTTTTTATATTTTGACGTAAACTGAACATGATAATTTTTTAATTGGTCAATTAGCGATACATGTGTGTAACACATGTGTAATGTGATGTGTGCAATCGGAGCCTTCTCCATTTGTTTACATTTTACAATAATATAGATTTGTACAATAATATCGATTAATTATATAATATTATGTATTATCAATGTTCAATTACTAATTTTATAATCCAATTTATCATATAAATCGAGCAATCATAGAGAAAATTGATCAATCATAGTCAGGGATTCGGACTGAAAGATTTTTTCGATTCGGTTCCAGTTTTGGTTTAATAAAATATCAAATAAATATTTCGGTTTCAGTTTCGGTTTTTAATGTTTCAATTTTTTTTTACCAGTAAAGAAATCGAAAATGTAAAAATTACGGTTTTTAATGATTTTTTTCGGTTCTACTCATTTGCTTTATTTTATTTATTCTTTAAATTTATTCTATTAAGAAGAAGAAAGGGGGAAGAAGGGGGGGGAGGGAGGGAGAGAGAGAGAGAGAGAGAGAGAGAGAGAGAGAGAGAGAGAGAGAGAGAGAGAGAGTTCGATCTAGAAAGCCTAGTCGAAAAGAGGCATCAATTGATCACGTGACTCTGAATAAAAATTAAACATTATTTTAGGCATATTTCTCTCAGTCCTTTCTTACAACTTATTCGATTCTTATGAATAGATCTCACTTATTATATAAAGTCTATATATTCTTGAATTTCATGACTTAGAATAAATTCTTGCAATATGTTAGTGAGGAAGATCTAAATAAAAGAAATGCTAGTATCTAAAAAAAAGTTTACATTAAATATGTCTCGCGATTCCGCCAGATTTCTTATATCATATGAGGTATTGGAGGTATTTACATTCTGATTATTAAGAGAGCTGGCGATGGTAATACTGGATTAAACATTGATGACTTGAAGGAATGAGCAGAACAAAGATTAAGAACAAGGAAGATTAAGAACTGAAAAAAGAATCAAACTGAAAAAAACCATAAAATTTTACCATTCGGTTATGGTTTCGGTATCATAAATTATACAAAATTTAAGTTCGGTTCATTAAAAAAAAGGGAAACTGTTTTCGATTTCGATTCGGTCCGGGTTTCTGATCAGATCGATTATGCTTCTCATATTCGACTGTGATTGGTTAATTTTCTACTTAAGACTTTACGACTGCTACTTCTATTGTAGACCCCGCATAAGCCTTAAGGGAATATTCTAGTGTAAAAGCCGAATTTTTATGGTATTTTTTCGAATTTTTTAAAAATATAAGATAAAGTTTTTTTTCTACATATTTGTACATATTTTAAAAACATTTCAGAATTTTTTAATTAAAAAATAATTGTTAATATATGCGCTGTATAAAATATTAAATAATGTCGTGAAAAATAAAACTAGGTTTATGGCTCCCACGATTCCAGCTCTTTTGCTCATCTGAAAAAAATCAAAGAAATTCTTAATTAGTATGAGTTTGGCTATAGCAGGTACTAGAATGAAGAAAAAATACTGATAATTTAAAAAATGTCATATTGAAAATTAAGTTTCGATTTTTGCCCTTTTTTTCATCAAAATGATTGTAAAAATATATATTTTGACTTGATTGATCAGTTTTCGAGATATGGGAGCCAATTTGAAAAACATAGTTTCGAGAAAAACACGTTTAAAGTTTTTCTGATTATATAGAGATAATTTTACTTACGATTAATCAGCTAAATTCTCTTTTTTCTATGTTCTATCGCCGTTAAATGTGTTGCAATATTTTCAACTTCTTCATTCTTCTTCTCATCACTAAATTCTTTTGAAATAAGAAAGTCGATATCTTTCGAATTTCGCAGTTTTTTTTTTGCGAAAACGAGCCGAAGATCGTTCTCTACCAGGTGCTATAACTTTGTTAATTTTGCAAATCGAGTTAATTCCTTTTATAAACATATTTTCTATATCAAATACTTGCAAAATATGTAAAAAAAAAAAATCGATTTTTACCCACCAGATTATATAGAATATCCCCTTAAGAAATGGACGAATCGTCGTATTCTTCTCGCATTCAACTCTAATCAATCAAACTCAGATCAATTTCTTAAGGCTTAAGACTTAAAACATCATTATAGATCCAGATTTGCTGCTGAGCACTATATTCTCTTTACTCACTATTTTGAAGAAGACTTACTTTTTCAGTAAAAACTCACTATTCTCACTTTTTTCCAATAAAATTGTATTATTTCTATTTGTTATAATTTCTAATAAGTTATATATTTTTTTAAATCTTTGCTGCGCGTTTCCTTTTCTGTAAGGAGATTTGAATAATTTGAATCTCTTGCCTTATATAGTGGCGATTCTTTTATTTTATTATTATTGATTATTTAAGGACGGTTTTCATTATAATTTACATTATATGGATTGTTATTCCAATCCATATAAATTAAATCAATTTATTGAGCGCTAGTCATAAAAAGTGTTGTCATGTTGCCATACATGTACTTGTACCAATGTAAAGTATTGGGTTGTCCGGAAAGTTCGTGCCGATGTTGAAGGAAAATTGAAACGCAGAAAATTTTAATTAAAATAAATGTATACTAAAATTTAAATTTTAGTCGGCACGAACTTTCCGGACAATCCAATAATAGCTTTATCAGTATGAAAAATTTATTAGAAAGTGTGATATTACTTGTAAAAATGCATAAAACTTATTGCAATATTATATCAAATAATATTAGGTTGGAGAAAAAGTTCTTTGGAATTTTGTTAGTTCAAATTATGTTCAGAATATATTTATTATGAAATTTTCGATTATTTGACGTGAAAGATTAAAGTTTTTTTAAAATTCGTTTTTAAAAATATTCCTACGACTTTTTGTTATCAAGTTACATGCGATTTAAATAAAAGAACATTCTGATTTTGATTGCTTATAACTCCGTTAAAAAAATCGTACCGTAATTAATAAAACAGATTCTAAAAGCTGAAAAGCTTAGCTCTATCGAATAATATCATGCTAATTTTTTTAAATGTAAAATATATAGATAGAAATTTGAGTTATAAAAATATGATGTTACTATTGTTATGACCATTGGTTATAAGAACAGTAGTAATACTATAGTTTTAGTTCAAATTTATACAGGATGTCTGATAATTGTTCTGACAGAGTTCGTGGACATGTAGAGCGAACTAAACTGAGGAAAGTCTTCTTTCCTCCATTACCATTTTGTAATTTTCGCACTAGCTAACAAGATATTGCTAAAAATTGCTGAAAATTGGTTTTCAATAATTTTTTACTCAAATCACTATCAACTTTACAAAAAAATTGCAAGAGACGAAAATTATTTATTTTTCTTCTCATAGAACTCTACAAATTATTTCAGAACTTTTTAAGTACTGCATTTTCTCTTTTTTAACAACATGAGAAAATATGATATTAAAAATTCTGAAAAAATTAAAAAAAAATTCTTAGAGCTTTATGAGAAGAAAATAAACAATTTTCTCTTGCAGTTCGTTCTACGTATCCACGAATTCTCTCAAAACAATTTTCAGACACCTTGTATATTCTATTTTTTTTTAAATTGGTAATTATACTACTCATAGAGCAACGTATCAGTTTTAAGAATCTGTTTTTTTTTTTAATTGTAGTACAATGATTTTTAATGGAGTTATGAGCAATCAAAGTCAGAATGTTTGATTTTTTTCAGTAGGGCATGTTCTTTATCCGTTACAGAGAACGTAACGCAAGGCGCAAAACGAACGGATCTTCATGCGCGCACACTGTCACGTATTACGCATGTATGTACATTTACACATACGGTATCATTCATTGCGGTGGCATAGATAACCTTGAAAAGGCCACCCTCGGAGCGTTACTACTTTAGCCGAATCCGCTGAGGTTTACTTAGTCTCCAGCGGCGACGATTAGAGTTGATCTCGATGAAGCGTTGAGGCTTGAGGCAAAGTGCGATTCTTCTATAGCACGATACACACTCTGTTCTAAAAGTTCTAAAAGAAAAAGAGGAAATAGGCTCGAGAGTGTGATGCGTCGTTGATTGTCTCCAACGTTAAATAAAATGTCAACGTAAGATAGAATTGCCAAGGCTGGTGCCGTGTTATTGGCGCGTTTGCGGTATATTACAGGTTATATTTCGATCAGCAACACTCCTCCGGGAGGTACGGAGTGAGGATGCCGTTCGCGAAGGATTGAACGCCGTTCGTTGTTGAAGCGGTATAGTCGGCGGACAGCATGGTGCAGCGTCCGGTCACGTCTCGACGCAACGTCAGAATACTGCTCATCGGCGAGCGTGGTGTCGGCAAGACTTCCTTGATATTGTCCCTCGTGAGTGAGGAATATGCGGAAGAGGTTCCAAGTAAGGCCGAGGAGATCACGATACCGGCGGATGTCACCCCGGAGCAAGTACCGACGCATATAGTCGATTATTCAGGTATCCTCGAGCATTCCAACATTTCTGTATTTCTCTCTTTTTAATTCTGTGCATCGCAATGCTATACTACTTCATAATGTTCAAGACATATTAAAACATCTAAATATGATTAACTCAGACCAAGATCTAAGGTTAGCTTTTATTTCAAAACTGCCTTAAGTAATGTCTTAAGATAATAATATTATACTATACTCTCTGATTTGTGACGTTTTAAAATTATTACTTAAGATAGTTTTAGATACAAGGATCGACTATGAAATCCTAAAATAAGGATATAAAACATCTTTAATATATTTCTCTTGATTTTGGACTTTGATTTTGGACTTTGTCTGGATAATTTGTTAGAGAATTTGTTACATCAATTGTATTTCTTCCTGTCTTATATTAAAGCAAAAATTTGACATTGTAGCCGTGGAGCAAACAGAGGATCAACTAACAGAGGAGATTCAAAAGGCACATGTAATATGCGTAGTTTATTCCGTGGACGACGAGGACACTCTGGACAGAGCTGCCAACTATTGGTTACCATTAATCAGAAGATGCTCGTCCAACAATCGGTGTCCAGTTGTTCTTGTAGGCAACAAGATTGATCTTGTGGATTATTCCACCATAGAGGTTTGCAGTCTCTTACAGAGATTTTAATTAGCATCCTTGTTTAGCACATATGTGTTAATGATTTCTACTTTTGCAATTCCAGGCTGTATATCCCATTATGAAAGAGTTCACAGAGATTGAAAGTTGCATAGAGGTAAGATACCATTTTGCTGATAAATGAGAAAAATGGAAGAAGCGTTATATAAAAAAATATGTATTTTCAGTGTTCGGCAAAAACACTTCAGAATGTCTCGGAAACATTTTATTATGCACAAAAGGCAGTTCTGCATCCGACTACACCTTTATATAATTATGACACACAAGAGGTAAAATATTTGTCTTATATTCCTTTAATTTAATATCTAAATTTTTTTTAAATTCAATCTCTTATTATTCCAGCTCACAGAAGAATGCAAAACTGCCCTACAGCGAATTTTTAAAGTGAGTGTTTTTCATATATAAATATACAAAAAAAATCATAATTTTTATGATATAAATTATGTTGTTTTTTTCCCAATGCAGATATGTGATGTAGATAACGATGGACTTTTAAACGATATGGAGTTGAATGCATTTCAGCAATGGTGCTTCAACACGCCATTACAACCACAAGTGCTGGAGGATGTAAAAGCTGTGCTATCAAAAAACATCTGCGATGGTATATGTAATGGGTGTGTCACAATGAAAGGTGAGATATATATCTTAGTTATTTCATATTAAATTTAAGCAACTTCACATAAAACTTCTAATTCACATAAAACTAATTAATTGCAATTACATAGGTTTTATGTACTTACAATGTTTATTCATACAACGCGGAAGAAACGAAACGACTTGGGCTGTGTTAAGGAAATTCGGATATGATAATGAGCTGCAAATATCAAAAGAATATATTCATCCTTCGTACGTATAAACGTCACAGAGCTACTTAGAGTTCTTCTAATAAATGTCATTGAATAACTCTGGTTTTTAGATTGAAAATTCCATCCGGCTGCAGCACGGAATTATCGCACAAGGGACAGGAGTTTTTAACATTACTGTTTATGCAGCACGATCGCGATCGCGACGGAGCTCTCTCACCCTTGGAAATGGAGTCATTGTTCTCGCGATGTCTTTTCCCACCATGGGGTGATGAATACAAATACACCGTAGCTACGAACGAAAAGGTAGTGGTTCACATCATCGTTACTTCTGACATTGATCGATTCTTTTTTATAAAAGTAGAAGAAAAAGCCAATATGTTGATCGGCACGATGGTGGCTTCAGTAAAAATAAAGATTTGAAATTTATATAGAATAAATCAATAAAGAATATTAAACGACAAGAAACCGATATGTGGATTTTAGAAATGGAAAAATATTAGACAACAATTATATGTATACATATATTTGAAAGCAAATTAATTTGGCATAACGTGTGTGTAATATTTCCACAGGGATGGATTACATTCCAAGGGTATATGTGTCAATGGGCATTGCTGACACTAACAAACGTTCGCAAAACCTTGGAATACATGGCATATCTGGGATACAACATGTATCACAACGAGTGTCAAACAAGTTCCATTGTCGTAACTCGTGAGAAGAAGGTAGATCTGGCAAAGAAGCAGTCCAGCAGAAATGTTTATACTTGTCATGTCATAGGACCGAAAAGTAGCGGGAAGACTACATTATGTAGAACTCTTATCGACCCTAAACTCGAGGTAAATGACTGATTACTTTTCAGGACTTTGACCAAAAAAAACTGTCGCGATTAAATCTCTTTATGCGAAATTGTAGAAACTGAATGACAAAGCGGTACCATCGACCGCTCACATTACTGTGAATACATTACATGTGTATGGGCAGGAGAAAACCATAGTATTGAAGGATATAAACGTGATGAATGTTCAGGATGCTTTAACGCCAGCAGAAATACAGTGCGATGTGGCTGCTCTTGTTTACGACGCCAGTAATCCAAAGTCATTCGAGTATATAGCGCGCATTTACATCGTAAGCATCGCGTTTTCTTGCATCTATTACGATTGAAATATATTCACGATGATAAACAATGCATATGTCTTTGCAGAAATATTTCGCCGATAGTAAAATTCCCGTTCTGATAGTAGCAAATAAAAGTGACCTTTCTGAGGTAAAGCAGAGTTATCTGTTGCAACCAGCTGCCTTTTGCAGCAAGTACAAACTGATGCCTCCGCAGCCGTACAGCATCTCACGAACGATCCGACGTGAGATCTTCGTCAAATTAGCTACGATGGCAGCCTTCCCGTAAGTTTATCTATACTCTTTAAGAACGGTATTAATGAAACTTTATCGAATGGATCTCGGGCTGCCTCGATTCACATATAGTAGATATTTTCCTTTGCAGCTGACATATCTGAAAGTATAGATTACACGTCGAGATTTTTAAAGCTTCGCTTATTTTTTTTTTCGTACGATATTTTCCAATGATTACTTTCAGAAAACAGTGTTTTATGCCGCACCTTCTCTTCGTTCTTTTCTTATAATTTAATTTAAGAAATAGTAGTGTAATATTAAAAAAGAAAAGAAAAAAAAGGAGATAATTCGGTATTAACAATAAGATATTTCGTGTTTAGCCGCTTTCAAGGAGCGTGGGTATTATTTTACCGAGACAGGTTGGTTCGAATTTCAATTTCACACTGTAAAAATCTAGAAGCTTGAACAAATGGTGAAAACTGCATTCAATTAATCGTCATATATTCCTCTCGATGCATGTGCTTACGGAGTTAACTCCGGATGCTTTCCAATTGCTTGAGACATCTTGACACAAACAAATTAATTTATGTATTTTCAGTATTAATAAATAATTTAACGTTGTCACGACATAACTTCATGTATGATTAGTAGCTCTCGGGCTGAATATCGGATATAGTGACGATAATTAAGTCATTGGTGCAATTGAATGTAAATCGATTTTTATATTTTTTTGTGTTAATAAATAATTTAATTCTTTTAAGGTCATGAGTTTATCATGACAAAGAATATGTAATTGAAAGGATTAAATTATTTATTAATACTGAAAATGTGTGAATTAATTTACTACATTTATGTAAAGATGTGTTAATTGGAAAACATCTTTCATCTTCTCATATTAAATATATTGGGCAATTTGCTCATATTAAAAAATGTCATCGCACGGACCAAATGTTACAATGTAATTGGCTCTTTTCAGTCATATGAGGCGTACAATCCACATGTTGCTTGTCGAATCCTTACCCTCTCCATGGTGGAGTTTCACAAGGTTTTATTTCACATTATTGCTTGTGTTTCTTCCTTGCGTCGCCCACGTGTTTTAAGTCATAACTTAATAGCGTATACATCGCTTTTTTTGGTTTCGTTCTTGCATGAGTATGCAATATATTACGAATCTCTTATGAATTTTCTGTCAATTCAAACCGCTTTTCTTACACATACTCTGAAATCGACACGAACTAAAAATAACATATCTATATTACAATTTTATACTCAACAATGTAACCGTTATATAACACCATGCATATTAATTTATATTGTTAAGTGCAAAATTATAACATTAAGACTGGATAATTATTTTTAGTTAATGTCCACTGGATAGTTATTCTAACAGGAAAATTTTTTCTTTCGATTTAATATCACTTGTATGATAAAACTCCACTGTCAATTGATCCGAATTTCATCAGTATTTATGTCTGTGTTGCTCGCTATATGTATCACTAAATATAATCACGATGTTTTGAGAGTATGATAGTATGGTTTTATCATGCTAGAATAGTCAACGTTTCTTGCGCAACTGAATGACAGTGAATCTTGTGCTTCGACATTTCAGGCACATAAATCAATTCGGCCTAATGCAAGGGGACTCCTTGGTTTGGTGGAAAGCAGGATTGGGAATCGCGATTGCCACGATCGCCGGCTACGTGATGATGCGTGTATTAAACACAGAAAAAAGATAGTCTATCATATTCGTGCTATTTGTACGTGTTTAACTGCCTCTTCTCGTCGAATAAAGAAAGAGCCGTATTATAGATAACCGCGATATATTGGACGAATATATAAATATATATATATAT